AAATATGCCAAATTTGTGGAATCTGACATGAAAAAATGCCAATATAGCAACCCTGACTGAGCGCCGACTGGTCTACGAAATAAAATACAGGTCTAGCCCTATATGCCTAGTACGCCTCAAGGCGCGAAAAGAGGAAGTTTACTTTGTGTGGGCCAACTTCCTTCCTTCACCGTGTTTCCCCTTCAGTCTGAGAGATTACAAAATCTCAATCTGGATGACACCAAATAAAAAATTTAATAAACCCACTTTAGATATTTTAAAAAATAAAATAAAAAAAAAAGGGGGGGGGGGAGAGAAACAGCAACAGCCCTATGTACACTGTGCGGATAAAGATCACTGACGGTGTGATTACGTTTTTTTTTTTTAAATTATTATCAAAACACTCATGACACATGAAACTCCTAAGGGTATATTAGTTCTGTCAAAAACAAAATTATAACTTGAACAATAATACTGCAGCACCATCCAACTTGAACCCAAAAATTCCAACATGTGCGCTGTCGATAATGCATTTCTATTAATCAAGATGCGTATTCGGTGGCATTTTCAACCTTCTGGCGCTGAAACCTGGCGCTTTAGTGCCCTTCAGGCAACTCCTTACCCCACTTATGAGTGTCTGTGTGTGTGGAAAGGGGGAAAAGGGGGGGGGGGGGGGGGGGTTATTATCGAGAACTGAGAATTTCCTAAGTGTTACCCCTAAACTCGTGCGGATACTAGACCGACAACGATAACAAATCCATCACCCAAGCCACCCGAGAAGATCAAGACAAATACAGAAAACCACGACACTGGGCTACAACATGATAACAGTGAGACCACAACAGAAAGTCCCTCTAAACATGTACAGACATTCTCATTTTGAGTTTTATAGGTTTCATACTCTACTGCTGATGATTCAGAGGGACGTTCGCATCAGACGTAACGTGGCGGCACAAGCAGTGGTCATTTTTAAGAAGGAGAAGAAAAAAACATTTAAGGAGACTTTCGTCGTACTTAATAAATAAAATCAACTACACAGTCCTGAGTTGGCGCCCTTGCACACAACAACGGCTAATCGCGATCTTGGAAAGAAAAAGAAATTCTGAGTTTTTGAAATAGTTTTCCTTTTTTTTTTTCTAACTGCCTGTCTCGCGCTTCTTTCCCCTGCCTTGAACATGTTTTTAATCTCTGGCCATAAAAATGAGATGAGAGTGTTAAAGATATTCAATCTACGAATACGTGGGCTGTTTCTAATGGAGTGTGGCGGGCGACCTGCTAAAGTAATCAGGCTGGTGCGGCGGTCTCTGACGTGCTACAGTGTGCACCATTTACTCATCATTTGATACATCGACCGTGTAACATCTTTCAGTATTATATTTCATCAGGATGCAACGTTACAGTTCTTCTCTACCCACTGTTGCTGTTGCCAGCTTGTCAAGAAGATAGCTTGTCAAGAAGATGGCATGTAGGGTGTTGTGGGACAATTTACTCGTTCTGTACCAAGTGTCGGGTTGGGGGGGGGGGGGGGGGGGGGTGGTGGTTATAAAGATCGCATGGGCGCTCTTTCAATGCTTTTTTTCGCCCTTTTCAGGACGTAATTTTTTGTTATTTGAAGCCCCACTCTGGCTTTTGCCAGGGGCCGCAATATAAGCAGGCCATAGATATGGCCAGTTGTCTGAACGCGGTTTCTGGGACCTCTCCACGGTGATCCTCATCCACATGGTGGCACTTTGTGTTATCGGGTGTTTATCGCTTGTGTGATGTCCTGGTGGGGTAGAAAGTCAGTCAGTCAGTCTTTCAATGCGTACTGTAAACTGGTCTTAGTTTCTCTGGAACCCGCGCCGCTCCATCTCCATCTCAAGATCGTCTCCTCTGCTCATTATATTTTTCAAACCCGGCTCTTTGGTAACACTATCCCATGTGTCGCCTTTTTAACGAATTTTACGATTGGCTTCAGCCCAAGTCCTCGCCCAGATTTTTCATTTATAATAGCATTTATTCTGTACTTTAATTTTAATTCGCCCCAAACAAAGGACATACCGAGGTTCCCAGTAAAGTCCAATATTCAGGGGGTTTTATGGGTTGGGTTAGGATCTTTCTTAGCCCCGACCGCTTTTTAGACACCGGCTGGCCCTGACTGAAAAACCAGAATACTTGAAATTCCCGGGAACTCAGGGATTCCCTTTGTTGGGGGCGAATTAAAAATAAAGTACAATTTCTTCTTATTACTCTGGTAGCCTTCTTAAGAATATAGTCAAGACTTTCCTTTCATTTGCCAATATTACAATTGTAAGCGTGGTCAAGCACTGAGATAGCACATAGAGCTAAACATGCTTGGGTTTTTGGGCCTCGCTGTGGTAAAACAAGAATAAACCCATTGCCCCCCCCCTAAGATTCAACTATTTGGGGGCTTCTTTTGAAGTCGTAGTGCATCTTTGGAGAGACAAGGAACCAATAGTAAGCATACAAAAAAAATTCAGATCTGTAAAACAAATCTACATTTAAGACTGATTTTGTGACAAGTTTGTACAGAGGCAAACAGCCAGAACTTTCCATCAATGTTTACAGCCGGTAAACGCCAAGAAGAAGGAAGATTAGGAAAAAAAAAATAATTAATTAACTAACAGTCACAGCAATGTAAAACAGAACTGGAATGATAGAAAAAGAAATGGTTTAAAAAAAGTTTCAAAGCTGGGTGAATGATACATAAACCTCAATTACAAATGATTTCAAACGAAACTGTGTTGTTTATGGGACAGAAAGTATTAGCTGTTCATGAAAGTGACATATATCTACAACAATAAACATGCATGATTAGCAATAAAAAGAAGAAAGTGGTCCAACCTACAACACATTGCTGACTGCACCAGGGTTAAGTTGATGTCTCTTTATGCTGTTTTCAAGCGTAAGTAAGTGAAGGGACTTTTTAATGCCTTTACTGCAATAGGCACATAGTATTCAACCGATTCAACATGAAACTCTTTAAAGTAAATTAATTCTGTCAGGAAATTCAAATAGCTTCAACAATACTGCAGCTGCCCCATCAAACTTTGACGCATACACGAATATGCTTCTCTTATAAATTAGTTATGTTGGGAAATTTTTAAAAGCTTCAACAATACTGCAGCCTTATGCAACTTCAATGAATACACAAATATGCATCTCCGAATTCCAACATAGGCTATGCCGTCAATTCACTTCTTTTTATCAGGATGCGTATTTAGCACCATTTTTAAACTACTGGTGCCGAAACCTGGCTGCTGGTACCACTATTGAAACCATCTCAAAACAAACCGTCTGCAGCTGGATTAAACCAGGCACTACGAAACTTGTTCGCAACGCCTAAGTTACAGACGTCGACATAAAGGACAAGCAGACTTTTAATCAAGTTGCAAATGGCATTATTCATAGAGAACTCTTTGCTAGCTACTAAGTGGACAGTGCATGTGTGGGAAAGCCCCAAGTGCACCAGGAATGACTGATTATTCACTTCTCCCCAAGGATTGAAGATGTTCCATATCTCTTCATTAATGGTCTTGCCACTTAAAATTAAAAACTTCCTTGAGTTCATCTGAAAACTGGGTGAAAACTTATGCGCTAGGATCCATTTGACCAACATCACCTGGATGTACTTTCATATTTTCTTTTGCCTCATTTTCCCTAATGGAGCACAGGCCCCTAAAGAGCTCACGCCAAGTCACTCTATCCTTCCCGACTGCATGCTGCTCATCCCATGACCTCTCCATCTTTTAACTTCACTGTCTAGAACTCTTCTTTATGTATTTTTTGGTCTGCCTTTATTTCTATGTTCCTGTGGGTTCTAGTCCTAAGACAGATTAATTATACTGTTCTCATGTATTCTCAACGTGTGTCCCATCCAATGACAGCATCTTTTTTTCACCTCTTGGTCCACTGAAACGTTCTCTCCTAAAGCTCATCACTGCAGATTCTATATCTTTTATTCCCTATATTCTGCCCACTCACCAGTCAATGAATGTTTATAGTTTTATTAATAATTGTTTCAATTGTTCTCTATGTTTCCCCTCCATACAGCAGTACTGATTCATCATAAGAATTACCAATTTCATGTTCAGCAGTAGTTTTAACACAAACTTCCTAGTGTTAATAACACACCTCTTGTCTTTTTGTATTTGTATTCTATATTAATCAACATAAAGCGCCTAACCAAATAATGTGGGCAAATATGCTTCTCTGCAGCTTGCGATCTTTAACAGTATTTATATTTATAATATGCTCTTGGAAGAAAGTGTTAATTCTTGAAACCTACACCTCCTGTGATAGGGTCTGTCTGGCTTTAAATGTCCTCATCTGTACCTGCCTAAATGTATAACCTTTTCTAAGTTAGGTGTATGTAACAAAAGACTGGCTTTCAGTGTGTCCAGAAATAAGCGTGCTTCTAAATCTGGTTATCAGAGCTAGTGTTATTAACATACTTTATATGACAGTTTCTAATCTTCAATGAGGTAGTAGACTGTCATAAACAGGTTGCCCCCACCAGAAAGCTAATAGATTTTAGAAACTTGTTTGAAATTGCATTACTGTCCATGTGTGTCACTTGCTAATGAAGGCTTTTGAGCTGCAACATTCATTTTGTCACCCATCATGTATTGTGAAGCTGACTAATTCTTCTTCTTAGATGGACTGACTTTCTAAATGCGTGTAGGCCGTTGGCGGTCTAGTTATTTTAACCACGGTGGTCACAAAGTTATGGAGTCTAAGTATACAGTTGTTTACCATTTGCATTGGTTGTGTTTAGAGGGATGGGTAAGATTTTAATTAAAGATGCATTTCTATGTATTATTTTGAATAAAAATCTTTCTACAATTCTACTGATCTGATTAAGAAAATAATACATCATATAATATAGAGAGCATCATTCAACAGTCGCAGGTGATAGGGAAGTGATAAACATTTAGCAGTGATATTAAAAGATACATATAAAGAACACTAATCAAGCAACAACAACAAAGTAAAAACTCACAAACACTGTCTGTACCTACCAGCGGAGAAAAATATTCCACCATTGGGGAACATCAAGACACTCTCAACAGGGAAGCCATGGTTTACTGTCAAGACACTGCTCTCCACTCTGGCATCCCACAGCTTGACTGTATGATCATAGGCACCTAAAGAACCACAAGATGTCATTTCAGACGGGATTCATTTCAGGATATTCAGTCCATGGTTCTATAAAAAGTTTTCTGGGACAATCTGCCAGCTCTATCTCTACTAGCTTCACTCAGCTCATTAGTTTGCTAGAAATCCTTTTTTTTTTTAAATGGGGGGGGGGGGGGGGGGGGGAGGAGGAAAGGAAAAAAACTGACGATCTTAACTATATAAAGGTAACAAAGTCTCAACTTCGGATTTTGTTACTGTGATTGTAGGTTCCCTTCGCCCTTTCGTTAAGCTTTTTAGTCACAGTATATTGGATTCATTTCTTGGTATAAGCTTGACTGTATTTACCACTTGTTGAATCCCTCAAGCTAGAACAACAATTAGATCCATACACAAACACCCTTAAACTTCACTACTGGAAAACAATATTTTAAAATGCTAATAGGCTGTACTAATAGGTTGTTTAAAATGTTACTATGTCTTGAATCCCTCGAGCTAGAACAATTAGATCCATACACAAACACCCTTAAACTTCACTACTGGAAAACAATATTTTAAAATGCTAATAGGCTGTACTAATAGGTTGTTTAAAATGTTACTATGTCTTGAATCCCTCGAGCTAGAACAATTAGATCCATACACAAACACCTTTAAACTTCACTACTGGAAAACAATATTTTAAAATGCTAATAGGCTGTACTAATAGGTTGTTTAAAATGTTACTATGTCTTGAACTGCCATTGAATCTTCAATAATTAACACAAACATTACCTGTGATGAAAATATCTTGACTTGACTGAGATGCCACTGAACTTCGAATATAGTCCTGTGAAAACACATTTATATACATTATGTTTACTTAACAAAAGTGAGAATACAAAAATAACTAATTAGTAAATTTCATAAATGTTCTTAAAATCTCTTTATGCAACGCAATATAATATGCATGCTAGTTCATTCGTATATGGGACTGTTACATGCTATGAGAACTGATTTGGGAACTACCAAACATAAAGATAATAGTATTACATCAGTAAGTGTGGTTTGGTATAATTGGTAACATTTCTTAACTTAACAATATTATGTTAAGAATTCATTTACGTCTGTGAAAGTGAAATCAAATTTCAAACCCTTAAACTTCCGGTTGAGAGACTGAGTAAGAAGAACTTTCATAGCACTAGTAAATTTGTGGAAGTCAAAAGAAATTAAAACCATTACCAAACTAAAATTGTGTAATTCTAATGTCAAATCAGTACTGTTGCATGGAGCGGAAACACGGAGAACAACTAAGGCAATTAATAATAAACTACAAACATTCATAAACTGGTGCCTGCGCAAAATAGAGAAAATTAAATAACTAATGTAGAGCTTTGGGAGAGAAATAAACAAGTTCCGGTGGACCAAGAGATGAAGAAAAGATGCTGGCGCTTGAAAGGACACACACTGAGAACAATATAATTAGTATGTCTTTGAACTGGAACCCACAAAGGTACATAACATAAATAAAGGAAGACAAACAAACACATGGAGAAGGGAGCTAGAGAGCAAAGTTAAAAAAAAAATGAGGAGGACAAGGGGAGAGCTGCATGCAATAGCAAAGGATAGAACTTAGCGTGAGTTGGTTGAGGGTCTATGCTCCACTGGGGGTTAGAAAGGAAGAAAAAGTAGTGATGTTGATTCTCCATAACAATTTGCATAATTATTCTGAGCAACCCCTGCACTGACAAAACAAATATCTTCGTCCTCTTGTAGTCTATGTAATTTGGCACTGGTGATTACATTTGACAACAGCCTTCTTCTTCGTGCACCGCCTATTTCTGATACAAATATTCTTCCATACCTACCACATTTTCTAAATCTGTCCCAACCCTCCTCCTCCCCTTTTAATTTCTGTGCTGTCACATCAATGCACTGCATCACCTGCATGTCACAATATGTCAAACAAATGTGAACTGCCTCTTTTTTTCTGATGAGGGTAATCAGTTGTTTTTGTGAATGGACTGGTCTTAATAAGTATCAGCACGCTTTTTCTGTCCATGGTGTTCACATCATTTATCTATAAAAATACATCACTGCATCTTCCATACATAATTTTATATTAACCCCCCCCCCCCCCCCCCCCCCCCAGCTAGGAGACCAGTGCCCTAAAGCCTAGATAAATGTATGTATAAATTAACAGCCAGAGTGTTATCCAGTGAAAACAGTAATTGCAAAGACAGACGGCAAACTTAAAGGAAATGTACTAGAAACACTAACCTGATGTTCTTGATAAACATGGATTTCCTTTTCTGTTGGGATGTCCCACACCCTGACTGTCTTGTCATTTGAACCAGAAATAATTCTGAACTGGTCTTCCAGAAATTTTGTTGTATGGACTGGCCTATTAGAAAAATATTTTATTACCGTTTTAAATGCAAATATGATAATGTGTATTTGTGTAGTACTGTCTAATCTATGTATGTGCTGACGAAGGCTCCATCAATAACCTTGCTAATATACTTTTCGTTTAGTTTTATATTTGTCTCTGATATGTGCAAAGTACATACATAAGATTGCAATTTTCACATTTAAAGGTAAATTACATCTTTAGCAAGCATAAGTGGGGGTCAAAGGAATTTTTCCTATTGTGAAATTGAACCAAAACAAAAAATAGTTTTCTGGTTTAAATAATTCGGAAACAAACAATACACTGCACAATTTATTGTCTGGCATATTTCGCTGCATCTCATCAGGTGCATACTACAGTAACAATCAATTAAAATAAAGCAAACAAAATGTTGAATCATTTACACTTCAGCTAACTGAAGATTATTGAGATTTTTGGAAGCAACAGTTATAAACCAGTTCAGCCCATAATTATGCAGACAAAAGGAAATGATTTGGACTTATGTTTATCATGGTAAAACAAACAGTTTTTGAATGCAGTCGACTTTGTATTTCATTTCAAATGGTTCAACTTTTTCCTTCATTTTAATCAACTGTTACTATGGTATGCACCTGATGAGATACTGTGAAACATGCCAGGCAATAAGCTGTGCAATCTATTGGTTGTGTCTTCGTTGTTTACAATGAATGGTGGTGTCAGTGACCTCTACATTTAATTCACAGTACAAGTACACAACCAGCAAACTTGTCAGGCAGTTCCTGTTTGGCCTGGCAACCTGGCTTAAACCTTTGGAATGCCAGGTCCCAGCGCTGTGCGGACCTCCTTTAGCCTTCACCACTCCCAAGTAAGGACAGATTAGCTAGTATACTTGTCTGTCATTGTGGCGGCCACATACCTAAATCCTCATGTGAACTGAATTTAAAAATATACAGACATGTATTCTTGAGCTGATTTGGTTGAAATAGATACCAGGAAATACTGCAGGAAGGAAAGCCACCCAGTATAATAATGTGACCACTTCGCCTATAGAATGCAAATTATTTAATTAAAACAATAGGCCATCAGTGCGATACACCTGACAGTGGAACAGCTGACCCTTGATTTTGCTGCTTTAGTCTTATGCAGCTACAGGCACAGCTAGATGCACAACTATGTGAAACTGGTGAACAATCATGAGAAACAAACATTCCAACATTTTAAGAATCGACTTTAATGTTATCCTATTTGGTTTGGTCTTTCTCTGTAAAAAAAAAAAGGCTACCCTGAAAACCTGCTCAGATTGCTGTACAGAGCATAAACCCCTTAACTCCAGCAGTGATCTCTAGAAATCTTCATAAAAAAAAATGCATCTGTGAAATAAAATGAACCCACAACAATAAAGTGCAAGGCAAGAGCCCTGACCACTTCGCCGTGGGGACCCCTACATTCAATCACTGAGTTAGCTCAGATAATACCTAAATTACAAAACCTACCCTGTGTGCCCTTCAAAAGTTCTGAGCAGGGAGCGAGTTCCGGGATTGAAAAGCTTGATGAGCTTGTCTTCTGTGCCAGCCACAAGCAGCTTCCCATCCCGCCTGTAGCTTCCACTATAGGCCACATCTTTGAACCTGCTCACTGTTCCTAGAAGTTGACTGTCTTCTCCACTGTAGATCTGCACCTGGTGACAAGAAATAAGCCGGATATACAAGAATTCTTTAAATACTCAGTTTCTACCCCAGCCATTTCACTCCTTCAGTCCCAAGGAACGCATCATACGTTCAAAGGTTCCTACCTAGAGACCCAATAAACGCAAGATGCGCCGATTTTACATCTGTTTTGACTACCTCTTGGGCCTCTGATGCTAAACCACTTGGGACTCAATGAGTTAAAAACACCCTCTGTATGACTAAACCCGCTCTTATTCCTTTCAGTACAGGCCAGTTCTTTACAAATGTTCCTCGTGCATTGTACTGTACGAAGTCCATGTACACCAAATAGTATGAATACACACACATTTAAAATAAACAAAATATTAACTAAAAACCTAGTCTTACTAATAGAGGCTATTTGAAAAAAAAAATTGGGAGGATAACTGACAAGTAATTATACGAATAGAAAGAGGTCGGCCTGAGATGAAAGGAACCAGAACGGTTTTTTTTTTTTTCAAAACATGATCGGATAATATGGAGTACTGAAAATGTTATGTACTTCTCCCTGACCCTACTGGCAGACATCGAGGTAAAGTTAAAAAAGAGTTTAAAGTCGAGAGGATTGACTTCATTGCACCGGGTTTTTATCCTATACGGCTTGGTCTCTCTCCGCAGAACGGCTAGCCGCCGCCGAACAAAATATCCGTAGCTCCGGCGATGATCACTAGGGAAATCCGTAAACACTGAATTTAAGGGGGCAGCCGTGAAACGCGAGGCAAACGGCTTGACCACGAAGACCCCCAGGTGAAGTGTGAAATGTAACAGTTAATGTCAGTACCACTGAATTAATTTTGACATAAAGGGGCTCAATAGCAAAGTTTAGGTTTAAACGGATCAACTCATGACACACAGGCGGGAGAATTATAAGGCGAAAAGATGATGGTGCTGGATAGAACACACATTGGGAAACTCATAACACTATAATTCACTCAGTCAACTAAATAAAGGCAGATCCCCCCTCCCCACATAAATGCAGAGAAAAAGAATGAGAGAATGGGCAGATGAAGAGGACCTATGGTCAGCTGCATGCGAAATCAAAGAATGGGACATCCCGGCGCGAGTTGGCTAAAAGCTTATGTTCTATTTGGGGATTATGGCAGAAAACAGAGACGTAATGTACATGCCTCTTACAATCATCCTACTGTCGTTCCCGCACTCACGCCACCAACCCTTAAAGACAATCATAGAGTTGGAGGCGTTTTGCGATACGTTTACACACACAAACAGATTTGATGGGGAGGGGGGGGGGGGGGGGAGGGGCGCTGTACCACCCGTTCTCCCCATCCCGTGCCGGTTACAGCCACAATTCCCCTCCCATTTACATTATTTAAACAGATGTCCCATTCCAGGCGACTACCTTTTCTGTCAGCCGTGCCGTACCAAAGATGCGAAACCGAATTAAATACCCTCTTCTCTAGGCACAAACATTATTATAGCATCTCTTAACACTAACGATTTCCACAGTGCAATTCAACTATTCGGCAGAAAAAAATGTTATGAGGAATTAGTCTCTCTGTTTCCCTAATGTGCGCTCAACAAGAAATCTGGAAAAATGGTAATCGCTTATAAATCTAAAGCCGAATAACTGCATGATTACACTTCGTCCTCCATTGACGACGATAGTAAGAGACAAAAAAAATGGATATGGAAGGGGTGGTGAGGAGAGAAGAAGAAAAGGCGAGAGAGAAGATTTGAGGGGACACGGCTCAAAAAGGTAACATAATTCAACGCTGGAAAATTACGCTTCAATATTTTTAAACTGCCACTCTTTTAATAAAAACTGCAAACGTTTTCAAAGCATTAAACTACATTTCCATATACTGTATCCATTATGGTTTATATGACAAAAACTGTTATGCTTGTTCTGTTATTGTCTATTTTAGGCATTTCAAAGCAATTCATTTACACATACGGAGCAGCTGAGTCTTGACACACTTGTCTGTCAGAAGATGGGACTGAGCCTCGAGAGGCAGGGGGTAAGAAGTGTTGGTGTTGTGGGTAGTGGGTTCCCCCCCTTACTTCACCCTAGGTCTAGTGAATATCTGTTCACGAAAGGAGCGTCCATTGTGGTGTCAGCCTCTTGACCTAGCAAAACCTCTCTTACCTCAAGACCATTGTGCGTGGCGAAGAGTCACAGCCTCCCCGAGGTAGTCCCGGTAACTGGGGGTGCGAATCCCCAGGCAAAACACAATGGATCTAGAGGAGCAAACCTCGATAATAAACACCCGGTGCACCACACCGTACTGCCCCCTGTGGGAGGGAAGGAGCCAGAGGTGTGCTGAACAGTCTTAGGAATGGAAACAAGTATGCTAACCCCCTGAATACCGGAAAACTATCGTGAAGGCACAGGGACTCAGGACGTGACGATCCAGTTGCCCCAACTACTCATGCTTAGGCCATGCTTAGAGACATGAAGAGCTCAGCGAAACCTGCAGGCAATCTGGTGGCGGGGAATGAGCACACTGTGAGCCCCACCTTAGCTACGTGTTAAAGGGAAAGGCAGAAACACAACCCATATTTCCTTTAGAACTGGTACAGGGCATTTCTAGCTGCTGCCCGGGGAGGTAGGTAATCCACAGACACCCCAGCACCACAATGCCATGAATATGTCTGTCAGAAGATTCTTGGTATGAATCATCACCTGTGGGGAGAAGGGGGGGGGGGGGGGGGGGGGGTAGAGAGAGAGAGAGAGAGAGACAGAGACGACAGACCCACTGCTGCCTAACGAGGATGTCGTAAAGGCGACCAATTAGGGTGCTTCTTTCGAAGTCGCAGTACATTTGCCTAAGTGGCGATTAACCAACAGTCTATACACACACGTGAGTCAGAGATCTGTAAAATGGATGTATATGCAAAACTCCTATTCTGGAATAAAATTGAAGCCCATAGGTGGATGCAGAACCAGAACTTTCCGCGGCGGAGACGATTTTAAGCCTGGTGGCACATGGGGCTTCAGAGAGGACTTTCATGCTTTCCTGTCCTGTACAATTTACAGTTTTGCATGTCAGAGACGCTGTTGTTTTTGGGCGCCTCTTCTTTTCCTTTCACTCTGGTTTCCATATCATATACTTATTATTCACTTAAAAAAACAGGTCTAGCAATATATGCCTGTCGTGAGAAGGATCCTTTACAAAGATTCACAGGGGGAGAGAGGCAATTATGATACTCCTCACAAAGCCCGGAAAAGAGTTCTAATGCCTCCAACTACAGACTGATGAGCCTCACAAGGTGTCTGCAAAACAGTGGAGCGCATCACCAACCTCAGACTACAGAGGTACATTGAAAGTGAAAACATCATTAAAGCACAGCAGGCGGGCTTTAGAAAGCTCTACTCTACAGAAGACCAGACAACATACTCTCCCAAGAAATAGAGGATGCTTTTCAAGAGAAAGTGGTACTCGCCACATGGATAGATTTAGAGAAAAGCTTCTGACAAGGTTTGGAAGGAGGGGCTTTTGAAGAAATTGGGAAACTATAAAGTAAATGGAAGAATGTACAATTGGATTAAAGCATATCTACATAATATAAGAGCCCGGGTACAGGTAGATGGTTTCAAAAGTTAAAAAGTTCTACTGTGACATGGCATCCTTCAAGGTGGTGCACTGTCAGCCACTCTTTTCCTGTTATTCATCAATGACCTGGTTGCTGAGATACCAAATGGAATCAAAATGGCAATGTATGCCGACGACCTGGTACTGTGGTGCACCAATGAACATGCAACGATAGCCACAAGAACACTACAGCGGGCTACAAATGCACTTGAGGAATGGGTGAATAGATGGTGTGTCAGCATCAACACAGACAAATGTAGCACCACACTCTCCACTCACTCCCCAAAGAAAAAGCGGGCATCATCAAAATAAACGGAATACCTCTGAGAGATGATAAAGAGCCCACATACCTTAGAGTCACATATGATGACAGGTTGACATGGAGAAAACATAACAAGGCAGCAACCAAAGCCAGGAGGAAGACAGCCATACTAAGATAACTAAGTGCAACCACATGGGGAGGTAGTGGAAAAATACTCAATAAAGTACACAAGCAGAGCATACAACCACACAACAAAGTACAAAATCAAGCACTCAGAGTCATCACAGGAGGGATGAAATCAACTCCCATATTAGAAATGGAGCTGAGAAAACACAGGCACTGAGAGAACGCAGAGATAAAAAGTTGCAAATACAAACTGAAAAGTTCCTCAGTATGCAAGATCACCCCATGAAAAACAGACTTCAGAAACTAGCCCTGGGACGGTTAAAAAGAAGCAGCTTTATACATCAAGCAAAGAGAATATGTAGACAAACGGCTGACCTTCCAGAAATTGGTTGTCCACTTAAAAGTATTCCAGAACAAACCCCATGGAGAGAAAAATGCAAACTAACTGTACAAATTCTGACAAATGCAAAAGAAATATTTAACAAGAGAAAGAGCAAGAAAGTGTAAAACGCAGAATGACCACACTCAGTTTTATTGATGAAGAATATCCACAAGAACAATAGGTCAGAATCCACACAATGGGTCCGCACAAAGTGCAGTTAGAAATGGTGGTGTGGAGTGTACACAGAATTCCCAGATGGTAGCAAGGATAAGTCCAGCGTACAAACCGGAAACTACTGCCATAACTATGATGCAGAAACTCAGGCTATCAAGACAGAAACAGAGAATTTGCTAAATACCAATCTTGACTCACAGTATGTAGTAATGCTGACAGATGCTAAATCAGTACTTGAAGGACTCCAGTCTAGGAAACTACCAGAATTCAAACACTGCTGACACAACTCAGCCTTCAGCAAAGAGTCGTAATGCAGTGGATACTGTCTTATTGTCGAGTGCCTGGAAATGAGAAAGCTGATCAACTGGCAGGTACAGGTGCAGCCGGATGTACCAGTCACATACCATCAAAAGAAAAGAATCATTAAATCGATCATGAAACCACCAGCCCCAGCACAAGATGACTATTTTTTTA